ACTAGGAACAAGTGCATCGCTAGTAGTAACAGGTGCCTTACTAGTAGGCACTCTTTCGTGCACCGTTGGAGGACACTCTTGTGTCGACTCTTCGGCACTCTGCACTCAAACGTGCACTGGCCAAAAGCGAGGCGTCAAGCCTTGAAAACGAGCGAATCAGCGAATCCCAATGGCACAGAGAGTGACACAAAACGCTGCACCTGCAAAATCAGCCGTCACGCTTGCAAAACTCACATTTCATCACGGTTCTACTCTATTTCACACGGTTCTGACATGTCATCCATCCACTGACCTCTCCAAAAAGCTTCTCCCAATGGAAGTTTATCAACGAACGCTGAGTCACACGATGAGTTGGCGACAAGACACACGAGAGACCCCAGCTTGCAGACGACAGAAATGAACGCAAAGCAAAAAAGTAAATAACATGACAGGTGAACAAAGTGCCAAAAACATGCGTGTGCAAAATCTATGAAGGACGGTGTTTCAGGAGCTGCAGGGGTCTCTCCCCTTTACTTGTAAGGGGAATTGAAGATGTACATAGATGATCATAGATGTACAGACCCTTGCAGCTTTCCTCCGAAATCACGGGAGGAAACACTACCCTTCGGAGAAAGAACAAATGGATACAAACACAGGAAGGCGAACGCGTGAGGGGTGGGGAGTCCGATACAAGATATGTAGTGAGTTTTGCCATGTCCATCCCCAGCAACGCACAACTAGAGTAACTAGAGTTGTGTTAGCTGTCAAATGTGTGAATATAGGCTTGTGTGAAGATGATTTACTATAAAGTTGACTACAGTAAAAAGAAGGACCTGATGTGACAATGTTGTGCAACAATGAGCTTATGCAACAATGACATAATTTATCATACAAGTAATTGTTGAAGAACCTTTCGCCATACTTTCACGCAAGAAGCAACATGAAAACAATTCCGCATTCTCCGAGCTATAGCTCCATGAATGTTGGCAACAATGTCGTGTTCAATAAATTTTTGGTGTAAAAACATGTCTCTTGACAGGGGAAGTCGACACAAGAACTGGGCCTCTTGTCGAAGGTGGTCCGACGCTGAGGATGCCTTCAATTACGCCAAGCGTATCGAAGCGTGTCTTGTACTAGAACAAAATGTGACAAGTGCTTCTTTTGTGATTACCTAGCTCAGGTGTTTACGCTGCAATGATGTAGCTGTATCCAAAAGGTGCAAGAAATGTCGAAAAGTTTAAACAAAAGAAATACAAAACAAATATCAGATGTTGCTGAGCCTGAGATGACAATAGCCACAGTTGGTGCCCTGAGGGCAGCTGGCACGGTGAGCTGCCACGTAGACGCAAGGACGGCGACACATCCACGGGTGCCCAAGACTGCCCAAGCTTGCCTCATCGGACAAGGACGGAAAGAGAAACAGGCGAAGTTGACCCAAAAGAGGGCTACCTGTTACTACTAGTAAGGCACCTGTTACTACTAGCGTGGCACTTGTTTCTACTAGCTTCTTGTTCCTACTAGTAAGGCACTTGTTACTAGTAGCGATGCACATTGCTACTAGTAGCTTCTTATTACTAGCAGTAAGGCACCTGAAGAACTCGTAAAAACATGAGTAAATGAAAATGTGTCAGAATGAAACTGGTTTGGCTCTATAGATAACCACTGGCAAAGCTTTTGGATTGGGCGAGCAAGGGTGAGCTCTCAAACATCACACCCTATCCCAGCCATTTCCAGCCTCCGTCGCGGTTGATCCATCCGAATCGCCTTGGGAATATGACGATTGATTCTTAGTAGAATGCTTTTTTAAAGTTTGTGTATTTCTTTGTTTTCTGTTACTTTTCTTTAGACGTTTAGATCTTAGAAGTGCTCCTTTCTCGTTTCTGTATCTGTAATTCTGCTCTGTGACTCTATTCCTTGAAGCCTTGACTTGAGACACTCTAGACTGCGGTGTCTCCTTCCCCAAGGAGACTTTGTCACTGATTTCCGACAAACTCGCAGGGTCGTCTACGGCTGAGCAAATGACTTTCGCTACTGGGAGCAAAGGGTATCGCTACTAGGAGCAAGGACGCTACTGGGGGCTCCTGGCCGTACTACTAGGAGCAAGGTTGCTACTAGGAACCTTGGCAGATGGCAGGGCTGAGCAAATAACTTTCGCTCTTCTTCCTTGCCTTCTGGACTTTCCCTGACCGGTGGCACATGGCCCACTGCCATGATCAAATCCAAGTGAGCTCAAAGGACAAAAGCTAAACTGCTCAATAGATTCTCGAAGATGCTTGGAAGCTCGATGCACCTGCAAGCTTCACGAACTTGGGCTCTTGCTGACCCACCTGAATTCGATATGGAGCAAGGCTGAGAAAGAAATGGATTTGTAAAAGTAACTCCCTGAAAGACCCCCTGTGCTTTCAATGCCAAGGGGGTTCGAAGCCCAGGTCCAAAGCTAAAGCATATGAGTGCTCAAACTGAATGTGTTTGACGGCAGCCCATCAGTCTCTTGTCCCATTGGCAACTGTGCACATTCACGGAGGCGCTGCTATAGCTGGGCTTCGCACGTTGGAAAAAGCATGGCCATTGCTCTCCACAAAATTCCAAATGGACATCATATCACTGGGCTGAACCTGAAGAATGCCACTCAGAGAACGCCACTCTTGCGTGGTCTTGACCATTCAGCTCAGGCTTTAGCTTTCACTAACCTAACCATCACAGTCACTGGTATAAAAAATTGTTGTATGCAAAACTCGTCCTGGAGCTTGCTACGTTAATAAGGACGCTACTAGCGGCTCCTGGCATCGCTACTAGGAGCAAAGACGCTACTAGGGGCTCCTGGCCGTACTAGGAGCAAGGACGCTACTCGCCACGGACTTCGCACCTTGCCTTCATGGGCTCGTAGCCCCAGGTGATTTCATCATCGTAGCCACGCCAAGTAGCCATGTTTGGGACTGATGGACAGCCAGACTTGCCAAATGTCTGAAGCAGTTGAACACAACACAAGTCGCGATGGAAGTATCTTAGATTCGAGTATACTCCGATTCAGGGTCTGGCAGTCCAGGTGAAACAACCTCGGAAGAGGTGTCGTTTACGTAGCGGTCCTCTGGTTGTTTACAGAGACCGAAGCTGCAAGCTTGAGCCAGCATTGCAGGGTCAAAGCATTGACCAATCAGACAATGCCCAACTGACACACAGCAGATAAGGGTTTCACAAAAAGCTGGACCCTGGGGCCCTGTGGGGGCCTCGGAAGTGTAAACAAAGACTGGGTGATCTAAACTCTGAGCAAAATTAAGCGGCTCTTGCACCCTTGGCGTCTTTTCAGGAGCCGGATTGCAAATTCTGAAGTTCAAATTATGAAAATATAATATAGGATGGCAAGCGTCCCGGGAAGTTCAATAAGAATATGAATTGGATGTTGAATAAGGATCATTACGGATCTATAGGCTCAACAAAACGGGCAAAGCGGAAGAAAGGAGGACTCTCCACAGAGACTTCCCGTCTCCTTCCGCGCACGCAGCTTGATCTTGCTGTGGCGCCTGGGAGCAGCGATTGAGGATGTCCGTTGAAGTTTAATGTTGTTAAGGACAAAATGACCTAACAACCCAGGCGAAGGAAACACCTTGTGAAGACCTGGCAAGATAAAGCCAATAGTTTCTAGCTATACATCGCTATGCATCGCTACTAGTAGCTAAGGGCATTACCTTCAATAGCTGGATGCAGAAGAACGGGAGATCTTCAAGGAAATATCTGCCTGGGGCCTGGGGGCGGGAGAAACTTCCCTTCCCATGATCGATGGTTCCTAGATTTGAGGAAATCCATAGAAATCCATGCTGGGCGTTGCTCGGGGGAACTCCACAGATCGTTCCTCTTCTCGCCTCAAAAGGATCGGCAAGCTCCATGGAACGCCCCAAAGCGCTTCCGGCAGTACCCCGACTCTGCGAACTGGAGGAACTCCGACAACTCGTTCTCCGAAGCTCCGTTCGCTCCGCTTGCTCCGCTTCCAGTCCGCCGCTTGCCCAGTTTGCACCTGCCAGGCTGGCCTCAATTTCTCAATGGACGCAGCTCGTCTTGGACGCAGCTCGTCCTTGTCTCGTTTTCCAAAGTTCGATCTTCCGACTCGTCTTCCAAACGTTGCTTGAACCAGACCTGAATGACCTCTGATGAAGCTGTGTTTGAGCTTGAAAAAGCACTGCACTTAAGGAACGGGCTGGCAGAGCTGGCTCAGGATGCACCCAGGCCACAACATGGGATGTCCATTATTGTTCACAATGACCCCAGAACAATTGAAGAAGCACAGCCTGGCTTCATCTTTATTGCAAGTGAAGGCTTGAGCGTCATGCACAATATCATTCTAGCGCAAGCATTTTCATCGCTGATGTCCTTTCCGGCAATTCTTCAATCACCGTTAAAGGAGCTTGGAACATCTTGAAGCCATACTTTGCTATCAAGCTTTAGGAATGGCCTTGATTCAAAAGAGGGTCACGGCACACGAAGGCTTGCTGGTCATTGCATACCGATTTGCAAGGCTTTTGGGAAATAAGGA